TTCTCTCTCTCTCTCTCTCTCTCACTCCCCCTCTCTCTCCTCTCTCGCTCTCTCTCTCTCAGTGTATGTGTTTGTGCTGGAATATAATGATTATAGCAAGCGCATATACGAGATAAAACCTGCAACATACACCAAAATTTCACACATACAGACGCGCATGAATGCATCTACATATGTACTTGTTTACAGGTCTTCCTGTTTATTCTCTGATGGTAAGAGATGGCGTACCCCTCCCCCCCCCCTCTGCCCCTATAAAAGAGAGTGCACGCAGGCAGATCGTCCCGTGCCTCCATTTCTGTCCTACACTGTGTTTTGTTCGTAGGGGCGTCTGAAGTAACCGATGCAACTTCGAACTGACCTCTTTGGAGAGAAATTTATTGGTATGTTTCCTTTATCAGTCGTTGGTATGTTGTGTATATACTTGCACGCATATATGCAATGTCATACATGTGCGTGTATGTGGGTATATATATGTCTATAAAGAACTGAAGTTATATTATGCTTCCAGAGAACCGGGTGACTATGGTTTCTGTTTTTTCCTGGTTCTGTGTTCCCTGCTGGCCCTTCTCTTCTTAACGGGGCCGCTCTCGCTGACGACATTCGGATGCTGCAACAAATGGAAAAAGAACTGGAAGGAGATTTCACCGTAAGTGAATAATTTCATGCCTTTTTGAAAACTTGGCTTCGCGGTCGTAACAAAACACGAGATCTTTTTTCGATAAAGTTAGAAAAAAAAAAAATTTTTTTGGTTTCAAATGAAAACGTGCCTAGAAAAGCATGATATTGCTTAAAACATAGGTATGATTTTTTTTTCCTAACAAGCAAAAAATTGTGCTATATCACGTCTCGCTTTGTGTATTTCTGCGATTCATACAAATCAACCATTTGATATTTAATTACTGTACTATGCACTAAGTACTAATGCCACACAGCAGAATAACTCCGAAGATCAGAGGCATTTCCTGGTCTTAATGCCTGTTATATATCAACAAACTGCAGATATTCACTTCCTTAAGGACTTTCATTATTCAAATTTTATCTATTTTATGGAATGGACATGTATCTTATGTACTGCCAAAGAAAGCAGAAATAAAAGAAAAAAAAATATGATTCATTGTTAATACAAACAGAAATCTTTAATTGATGCTGCAAAATAGATCTAAGCCGCTTGGGGTTCCGGGAATGATGCTCAAAATACAGCTTTTTTATAGCATTCCGAAACCTCAAAAACTTCGATAACTTTGGTTTTGACTCGTGTTCGCAACAAAACACGAGGTCGTCAAACTGTGTTTTGGTATATAAAGTTATGAAAAAAAAATCACATAACCAAAGTCCATATAAAAACGTGAAATTAATAAGATATTCATATAATCTGTAGTTTAGGAGACTATATAAATCTTAATGAAAACGAAAAGTCCAGGATCACTAAGCGACTCCTACGTGTTTATTTACACACTTTTCTTTAGTCGCAAGACAGTGAAAACTTTCAAATATATTTCTCGGATACATTAAAACATGTTTCTTTTTTCTATCTTTATTTATTTTCTATGCTTGTAGTGAACCATGAAGTCCCACATTCTACTTATAATATCTTTTAATGACACCTCGCCAGTAGGAATGCTTTTCCCTTTAAACGTGTGCTTATTTTAATGGTGACTGGGACCTGTGTCATGTATAGTGTTTATTGCGGGTGCATGTGCTTGGGATTTATGTAATGAATATTGATCAGTTTTCGGATTCTGACAATAAGTTAGTTTATGTGTATGGGCAGTAAGTGAAAAAAGGCATGACCCTTTTTGACACCATATCCAAAAAAGAGACAAAGTCGGTAATTTTGAAATTGTGTAATTCACGCTTCCAATCTATTTGGAGAGTACATTTTCATATATTGTCCAACTTTCTTCAAAACGGTGAATCACACGGGTGGCATGTATCAGTACAATTTCCAGCTTTTATACCTGGAATTCTCATTTCGGCGGTCAGTGGAAACGGCACTTTTGTGTTTGTTCACAGCTCCCGGGCTAGTACAGTGGTAACGTGTCGGTTTCTCATCCGAGGGGTCGGCGGTTCGCGCCCCAGCCACGCGCGAGAAGTTGCAATTGTCGCCTGGAGGTTACTGCTGTGGCTGGGCACCACGGCGGGTAAGGACAAAGCCGAGTTAGCACCAGCTGACACAGTGATAGCGAGTCGACATTAGTCGACACAGGCCGGGCTCCCCTCATAGTCCGGGCGAGGCTCAGCTTCGCATATCGGACTTATCCTTATGTTTGTTCACATTTTTGTACCACGAATGGCTTGAACGGATTGTCGTGAGAAACATAATTTACCAATTTTGGAATTTCCCTTTTAGCCATGGATCTCATGCCGGTGTGTAGGTATCTATATACAAAACTAACATTGGTTGTAAATAATCTAATGTGTTTTTTTTCTGGGTTAAAGGTTTTGTGAATAGTTGAGGGAAGGATAATAGGACATGGCCGGTGAGGACACACGTAGGGAATCAAAGTAATCATCGTTCTGTACTATGAAATTATTAACAAATTAATGGCGTAGAAAATTAAGAAAAAAAACGGTTCATGTTATAACCGCTATTACACCAACACGCGGTATACGAGGAAATAAAGAAAAATTAACCATTTTAGGAGTGTTTTTAAGCTACGGCCAGATCTGAAAAGGGTTTATTTAGGGAAAAAAATCGTGGGAGTGTGGTCCTTGAGGGGGGGGGGAGCCAGAAGACATTGATGGGGGCAATTACCTCTTTCCAGCGCCCTCCCCCCCCCCGAAAAAAAAAGAGAAATGACGCCCCTTTTATGCACATTCACACAGAGCAACGGACTAAGAAAAAATACTTATAATTTTCGATGGTTGTTAGTCTTAGCCAAAAAGCAGTTGCTTGTTTTTTAAGGGCGAGAATTATTTTTCTCAGGTATCCATAAATCTAAAGACTCGAAGGAGATACCTAATGCTGCATGTGGCCATTTTTTTTTTTAGCTAAATACTTGGTATTTTGACAAAAAATCCGAAGTTCTGGATGTGTGTAAATGTGTAACGTATCAGTGAACGAACTGTGTATGGACCAATGATATGGCAACACTGTTATTGTTTTAGACAGAAGCCAGTCGCACTGTCATCAAGGAACGAGACGGATGTACGTCACTTCCGACCCTCGTGTATCTAGTCTCTCCTGTCAATATATCATCAAAGGATTTACGCGAGTTTATCTATCCACCTCTGATAAGACATTATGTGGACATCCCACACCCACATGGCGCAGTGAGTTCCAGTGAAAAGACAGTAAAGAGAGGAACCGGCAGTGTGACCCAGCGATGCAGCCTTCTGTGTTCAGTGACTACCCTCATTTTGTGAAGTGTCTGAGTGACTTGTGTGGTGTTAGTGAAGTGCAGTGAACTCTTGTGGTGTATTGTGAGCAGGGAATACAGCTGTCATTCTATTCTCCCGCATTTTTGGTCATTATGGCCAGAGCTACGATTAACACGAACGCGCATCCAGTCTGCAGCGGCACTGGCGCCCTCGCCGCACCACACCGCCAGAGAGAAGCTCCGCCCCCTTCGTGACGTCGAGGTCCAGGATTGGCCGACCGTGCCAAACAGCTCTGACGTCGCGGCGTCCGTCTGCGAGGCGCCACGAGTAAACTCCGAACCACCAGACACACGAAATATACTTCATATAAACCAAAATGCCTAAGACAAAAGCAGCTAAACAAGAGGAAGTCACGCCGTCTCCCTCATCGACATCGCCACCAGAAGCACGGCCAGCTGTGGATATACTATCGCAAAAGATGGAAATCTGGCGGCAAGAAGTGGAGGAGAGGAAAGAGGTGGAAAAAACATCAACAAGAGGACGAGGAACGACGACGAGAGGAAGATCGCCGACGACAAGAGGAAGACAGGCGAAGACAGGAGGAAGACAGACGTAGAAGAGAGGACGACGAGCAGAGAAGGAAGGCTGAGGAACAACGATTCTTGCAGCTGTTTGCTACCCTCACCACGTCTCCCACTCCCCCGCAGACTGTAGGACCACAGCCTGCTGTCGCCACGGACCTTCCGGCTTCGGCGCCTTCATCAGGTACTCCAGCAATGAAGGCTTCAGTCCAGCCTCCCCCACCCCTCGCCCAAGATGTTACTCTGCGGTCGTACAAAGAATGGCGACAACGCTGGGATGACTATGCTGTCATGATTGACCTGCATAACCTGCCTCAGCATAAGCAATTAATACACTTGCGTGCATGCTTATCTGCTGACATGGAGAGAAACACTGGAGCACAGTTTAGGCGTGTCTCCAGCCTCAGATTTGCCTCTGATCGATGTCCTCCAGCGAATCCAGAACTTCGTTCGAGACCAAAAGAATGAGGCTTTACGACGTCTCACATTTTCCCAGTGCAGGCAGGCCAACAATGAGAAATTTACAGATTTTTATGTGCGTCTAAAGCAAGCTGCAACCAGTGTGGATCTGTGTAAAGGACATAGCAATGTTTGTATCGAGACCCAAATCAAACATGCCATCTTAATAGTTGTTCAAGATGAAGAGACCAAACAACGCCTGTTAGAGATGAAGTCCGACGCCACCCTTGATGACGTAATAACCGTGTGTAGATCTCGTGAGGCTGCCGAGTCTACCACCCAAGAACTACGCCCATTGCAACCAGCTACACGATCATTGTTTATAAGCAGAAAAAGCGGCGAGCTGCCAAGGGTAACACTGACGGACCCTGCCGAAAAGCCAAAAGTCGCCCTCCCAAGTCTCCACAACCACAGCCAAAAGAACTTTGTGACCATTGTGGATACAAGACACATGTCAAGAAGAAGTGCCATGCTTCTACTAGCACCTGCCGTACCTTTGGCAAAGTAGGTCACTTTGCCAGCTGTTGTCAGTCATCAAAGAAGAAAAGAATGCCACCCACAGAAGGGAATGTTCTTTCAGTTTCCCAAGTTTCGCACAACATAGCCAAAGTCTGCGCAGTTGAAACTGAATCCCGTGTAGGCCCTGCATCTCCGACGATTAAATTGTTAGTGCAGTCAGGAGACTCTTCAGCATATGTAGACTGCATACCTGACACAGGATCTGACACAACCGTGATGGATGTTACCCTTCTCAAGTCTCTAGGATGAACCACAGACAACCTGGACACATCTACAAACTTCGGACTGCATAATCCTGATGGATCGCATATGAACTGTACTGTCCTTGGATCATTATATGCTAGCATGACGTATGGTACAGACACCATACAGGGTTGGATAAATGTGTTGAGTTCTTTACCACGACCTCTGCTGTCCTGGAGCCACACACAACAGCTACAAATTATCCCCAAGGACTACCCACGACAGATCCTAGGCAGAAAGCATGGTAAACGCTTTCCCAGTGAAAACCTGCAAACAGTTCAACCTGGTGAGGTAGCAAGAATTGTTACAACTTCCAATGTTATGCCTGATCACCCTTCAGTGACACCCCAGGAGGCCATAGGCCAACAGCCAGCCCCACCTCAACCATCACAACGGTTCCCGCTACATCCACCAAGACCTCCTCCGTTCTCAGCATCCCCTAATGAGGCGACAAAGTTTTTCCTTCGAGAATTTTCAGACGTTCTCATGACGAAGTATGATTTCCGACAGGTTACGAAGCTCAAGATGTGTGGACCTATGAGGATCTTCATAAAGGAAAATGCCAAACCATTTGCAGTGCACACGCCCCGTGTCATTCCCTTTGCCTGGCCGGATGACATCAAGACAGAGTTGGACTCCATGGTGGCTCAGGGCATCATTACTCCTGCAGGTGATGAACCATCACAATGGTGTCACCCCTTAGTGGTTGTAGCTAAGCCTAATGGAGGTGTTAGGATAACTGTTGACCTCACTAAACTCAACAGTCAAGTGCTCCGCCCTGCCCAACCCTCACCAACGCCTCATGATGCTGTACGTCGTATCAACCCTAAGGCGAAGTACTTTTCCACCTTGGATGCCTTATATGGCTATTGGCAAATACCTTTAGAAGAGCAAGATCAACATTTAACAACATTCCTCACCCCTTATGGTCGCTTCCGCTTTTGTCGTGGAGGTGGTAGACGACGTCCTTCTATGAGATGAGGTTGTGCATCTTACCTAAAGCGAGTACAGGAAGTTCTTATGAGATGCCGTGCACATTGCATTACCATGAATGCTGACTAGTTTGTGCTCGCAGCCCCAGAAGTGTCATTCTGACAGACCTCCGATCATTTATGGGCTTGGTGAACCAACTGGCTGAATTCACCCCTGCAATTGCCGAGTCTGCACGTAAAGATTCGGTATATGTCAAGCTCCTCGACAAAGTGACTCATGGTTTCCCTGCCAACCGTGACAATTTGGACCCTGACCTACTCCCATATTGGAAGGAACATGACAATTTGTACCACGATGAGGACCTCATCCTTTTGGGACCCCGCATTGTAGTTCCTTCTACCCTTCGCCGAGAAGTGTTGGCTCGCCTACATGACAGTCACCGTGGCGTGGAGGCCACAAAGCGTCGTGCCCGACAGACTGTATGGTGGCCTGGTATCAATTCAGATATCACAAATGCAGTCAGATCATGTGAGCCTTGCCAAGTACTTCTGCCAAGTCAGCAACAAGAGCCCATGCTGACACAAGAAGCACCCACCAAACCCTTTGAGTCTGTGTCAGCAGATTTTTTCAGTGCAGCGGGGAAGTCTTTCCTTGTTTACGTTGACCGACTCTCAGGATGGCCTGTGATAGCATGCTGTGGCACTGACACTACAACTGCCGCCACTATTAGTTTCTTCAGAAGATTCTTCCGCGACCTAGGTGTCCCTCTTCGGCTGCGCACTGATGGTGGACCTCAGTTTTCGAGCCGAGATTTTAATGACTTTCTGTGTCGATGGGGTGTTCGCCATGATACATCCTCTCCCCATTATCCACAGAGTAATGGTCATGCAGAAGCTGCAGTGAAGGCCTTGAAACACCTAATTTTGAAGGTCGCCCCTTCTGGTATCCTGAATGAAGCTTTCGACCGTGGATTGTTGGAACTCCGTAACACACCACGTCAGGATGGCCGTTCCCCTGCGCAAGTTTTGTTTGGCCATCCTCTACGTTCCTGTGTTCCAGCCCACAGCTCATCTTTTGGTCCAGAATGGCAAGCAAAGACAGAAGAGTGTGATCGCCGTATAGCTATGAGGACACTGCTAAGGCATTATACGACACGCACGCCAGACCATTACAGCCACTACAGATTGGATCGCAAGTCTGGATATAAGATCCTGTCTCCAGACGGTGGAATAAAGTAGCTGTAGTCATGGGAATTGATCGGAGCCGCGACTACCTTCTCCGGACGCCTTCAGGACGAGTGCTTTGGAGAAATCGTCGGTTCCTTCGAGTTATGCCCATTCCACCTCACGCACCTGTGGAGGACAAGCGTGAGGACGCCCCCAACCGCCCAGCCCAAGATTCTCCTTGCCCACGTAGACGTCGTCAACCCAGAAGTTATGGCGCC